AACAAACCCAGTCTGGAACACTGCTAGACAATCCAGGTTTGAGGGGCCCTGTTTGTGGCCCAGGCAAATAAAGAGCAGAGGATGAGGTTATGAACGCTCAGGGAGGTAACAGGTAGACCGGGGGGGGAGAGGAGAAGCAGCTCACATTGCAGAGCACTTGATTAGCTGTTTTGTGAATTAAAGAGGTCTTTAAAATCTCTTCGAAGCACTCACTTGATGCAAGGAGGTGGCATAGCACACTGACCACACAGTGCAGCACTTACTGTTCAGAAGGAAAGGAAGAATCGGCAGATTTTGTTATTTATTTGGAAGAAAAAACGCTTTTTACGTTAAACTTTTTTTACTACACTTTGATGACAAAAAGTAAATCAGTTCAGTTTTTCCTCCAACACGATCAACACGTTTCTTATTTTATTTAATTTTATTTTTTTTCTCTTAGTGCAAAAATGTTTCTGCTTAAGTGTCACATGAGCAGCATGTAATGTGTTCAATATGAAACAAGCAATATGCCTTGTGTGAGAATTACGGGTCTCTACAGTCATCATCCTTTACAATTTGACTTTCTCCATTAAGCTGATTCAACTTTCAGGACAAAAAGTAATAAAGCCACACCGCTCTGTTTTTTTAATCTGCTGCTGTGGTTGAAATATCGTCAGGAAAGCAGTAAACCCTCCTCAAACACATGAATACTTGTGTTGAACTGGCCTGTAAAGTGATGTCCTTCTGTATATTCTCACTTGAGGTATCCCGCTTTGAGTAAGGGATTGATGCTAAGTGTGCGATTCAATCAGTGTATAGTATTCAGTAAAATGTGCTGGTCCTTCTGTCTCTGCTCTGTTGTCTGTTTGTACAAAGCAATAGTGTGTGTGTGTTTGTTCTCACAGTGTGTGGATAAAATAAACCCCAGACAAGGCTTTAATAATTACAGAGGAACAGGGTTATGTGGACGAGGAGGTCTTGATTTTATTTTGGACTTTTTTGAAAAAAATAATTTTAAAAAAGGGTTTTGGAAACGCTGAGCTCGATCCATCCAAACATGATAGGTGTAGGCTTAAAAAGCGTGACATACCGACTTCAGCGATTCACAGGTCTGCAGAACTCTGTGAGGCAACATCGAGCAGCTTCACAGTCCACACACGCTCCGCTGTCACTCCAGACAGCCGAAGCCGAAATGAATGGAAATGAATTCTGGCCTCTAAATTGTGAAGATGAAGTTTTCTCTCAGCCGTAAATTGTGAAGATCGGTATTATGTCACGCTTTAAAGTTGTGCTGGACTGTCGGTGTGTTACCCAGACTTCTGAGTCAATCGTCACATTTTAACAGAACTCATCCTCCAAAGCACAGCTGATAAGGTTTTATGACTTAAAAATACGTTTAAGAATATAGTTTAAAAAAAAATAAAAAGCAACTTCTAGCCATAATCGAATGTCAAGCAATAATATATGTCTGTGTATTATTTTGGGTTCTTTTGTGCATAGTAGTCTCTGAACATCTGCATGTAAATACACCTCTTATTTATCACTTTTGGTTTTATTTTTTTGTGTTGATTCTTCCGTGGATGTTTTTATGTTTCATCTGTATATTTGACCAGTTCTGTTCCCAGGTGGAGAACCAAGAACTTGACACGGCCTGTATGCTGTATATCTTAATTTTCTCTCTCTTTCTCTCTCCCTCATTCTCGGCTGTTTATCCACCATATTTAATGTTATTATTGATCACGTGTATAAAGGTAGCTTTGTAATTTCTGTCTGTATAGGTAAGAGGAAAATACTGCTACTAAGGCCTACCCAGTGAAGATATTTATCTGTTTATCAATTACACCTTATTGTATGATAAATCTGTTTCTAGTTTGCTTCCCTCTTTTAGGATTAGTTTGTTAGAAATAGGGTGTGCTCACTCTTACTTTGTGTTGCCCTGATGTGTGGTGCTAGGTAAGTTAATTTTGTGAACAAAGGATTAATTCCCAAGCCTGGCCGCCCTATTAGTTCAGTCATTTCATTGCATATTAATGTATTATTGATATTAGGACTCAATAAATAATAATAAAAATAATAATGAGAATAATAATAATGAGAATAAAAATGATAGTGGTAAAATTTACCCAGCCAGTACCTGTATCAGTGTGCTAGTCTTGGGATAAGGCACTTAATTCCTTCTGACTTATAGCAAAGCTAGTATCTGCTAATTTACAAGCTATTTAAGGTTGCTTTTTGGGTTCATGGAGAAATGTTAATATTCAAACTGAAACAGCAGTATTGTGTTTTTTCTTTGTCTGATTGTAAAAAACCACTCACTGAGGCTATAGTTTGTCAGGTTTTTAAGATACTTAATATTTACCTCTCTTGTGTCTGCATAGTTCTTCACCGAATGCAGGGAAGTGGTGCTTGGATTTTATTAAAAAAGAGCCTCGCTATGCTTTTGTTATCTCCTGTTTTAGACTATCCTGAAAGTGGTTTCCTCCTTAAACCTTTTTGCACCACATGAAGTGTTACAACTGCACATGACAGAATTGCCATTTGAGGACAAAGTTGACCTTTTTCTCTCCACTCTGTAGCAAATATCAGTGAGAATATGCTTGCAATAATCTACAACGTATCACACTGAGTGCCTCTCGGTGTAACAAGATGCATCCATGGTTTTGATTGTCTTTTTTTGTGGTTCTGAAGTGACAATGTATTTTGTACCATGAGGATAAACTCTCACTCTCTCACATGCTTTTTTCTGATACTTTCTTTATGTGATGTTGATCATTTTCACGTGGGTTAATGCTTCAATGTTTTTGATGGTCCGTTTCAAGTGTACATGTCACCCCTTACCTTATTTGAGAAACATAACTGGGAAGGTTTTCGTGTTCATTTTCAGTCCAATAAATGCTCGCAGACAACACCACAGAAAAATACACCCGCACTTTCTTTTTTTTTTTTTTTGATCAGACAAAAACTTACAGGCAGTCTGCATTTCTGGTTGTATTTTATCTTCTTTTCTTGTTTCACTGAAGAGCAGAAGATGTACTGATGCATTGTATATCAAGTATTTGTATGTGTTTGTCAAAGATGCAAACAACACATCTGGATTTCTTAAATGTTCTGTGTTCAATGTACGCTCGGTCAGTTGGGGTAACTTAGCATGAAGGGTGGGTGAAGCAGGGGTGGATTGTTTTTTTTCTTTTCTTTTCTTTTTTTTTTTAAATTTGTTTGTTTATTTTTCATGCAAAAGCCGTTCCAATTATGTGGAAAACCCCCAAATCTAGTGTGTGGTCGTCACAAATTTTTAAGTCACACATTTGCTACTGATGTTAAAACGGGGACAGATGATCATGTACCTTTTTATCCAGCTCTTTTGAACTCTCTTTAGCAGGTAGTCTATTCACAAACGTAGTTTTGCTCCTTCTTGTCTGATTCTTAAATATGAAAATAAGTATTTTGATTCATTTTGTAAATACAGCTGTAAAGAAAAATAAGAAATTTAATGTTGTCTTTTAAATACTTTTCATTCTAATATGAATGTTGTTATATTGTACTTAGAAACTGTACCTTTAATATTACCTTTATTAAAAGTGCATTGGACACATCGGTTTTAGATGTGCTTTATGTGCTGTTATCCCATAATAAAATTTACCGCTTGTAATGGGCTTTTATTTCCTGGCTCTTTATCAGTCTCTGTTGTTTACTGTTTCTTTGAATTTTCTCCTATAAACAAAATTAGTCAATAGCACATTTTCAGTTCTATTAGTCCTTAACAGTCATTTAAAGATTTAATCAGAGGTAACATCACTCATCTGAAAACTAGTCGCCTCAAACTATGATCAAATAGTCAAATTCATTGTGTCACTAATTAATATGTCTGTTCAACTGGCTGAGTGAAGAATGACACTTCGGTAAGCAAACAGTAAAAATACAGTTCAAGTGAATCTAAGTGAAATACACAACAAGCTCAGGCAATCAGGTAGAATTATGAGCTACATGTGATAGGGGTGGGAGAACAAATCGATACAGCATAGTATCGCGATATTTTGTCTAGTGATATATCGTATCATCTCATTTACCAAGTATTGATTTCTCAAATTAATTGCTAATATGAAGTCAAATCTATGATAATGGAAAATAAAAATCAACTGTGTGTCCAGTGAGGTTGGCAGAGGTGACATCATAGAGCAGGAGAAAGTTAGAACAACAAATATACATAAGGTTTGCAAGATGTGCTACATGAAAATAAAATACAGTGTAAATAAGACAAACATAAAGGAAAGACAAATGCTAAATTAGCTAAACAGTTGAAAAAATTGTATGAATCGCAATACTCACTGTGTTGCAAAATGTTAAAAATTGCAATAATATCATATCGTGGCCAAAGTATCATGATAATATCGTATACTGGGGCCACTCGTGAGTTCCGCCCTTAATATGTGATAACTCAGAAAAAAAACATGAATTTGGAAAAAGTTTTCAGTACCTATTAATAAAAACTCCTTAAACTGTCTGTAGAGGTGCCATTATTCGACCAGCAGCCCTATAAACAAAAAATTCCATTTAAGCCCTCAATAGATCACATGCTTGTGGTGTCTGGATATTGCTCATATTGTTTCTAGAGCATTATATCTTCAAATTAAGTCTGAGCCCGAGTGGAAACGGATTATGTAGATCCAGGTAGGTGTGTTAGTCAAGTATATGGAAGTTGGAATCACAAGACAACATAGGCTACCATATGCTTACAGACCCTGGATTCATCTGTGGTCCTTTATGGCATCAGGAGGTTCATGGCCAGACTCACAAATTGCTGAGCTAGTTCCTTCTGATTATCCAAACTTTAGTGCTGATAGAGTATTTTATATATCTATATAGAGATTCATTTCATCCACATGTGGGGTAAACGAAGTAGCTTCTCCATTAGACGGTCAGGAGCGCGAAAACTTAAAGACTAAATAGAAAACAGATCTCTTGCAGTAAGCGTTGATGTCCAATGGAGGGCAGTATTGCACCACAAGCGCTCAGACGTCGACAGAATTTCACCTGACGAACAAGAAGCGTGTTTCACGTTAGCCTGCTAGCGACAGTTGGTTTATTGACAAAACGGACCCAACGTGATAGTGATGGAGCTAGAGTGGTAAGTACTAGTTTCGCTGAAAATACTTTTAAAAAATGAGGTTTAACGTGTTTAAAAGTGTAAGTTTAAGAGTCTGTAACCTCTTTAAGAATAGTCTGGGTCATATCTGAGATGTCAAGGTGTTAGTTTGGATCAGGACCTGGTCTTAACGTGGTCTAGACAGCAGAAAGGAAACTGTCTGGTTTGTATTTTCATGAACAGAATGAAGGCTCACAAATTCGAAACTGTTTCTTTGGGATCTGTTACTTTCTCCATACTCCCTCCTTTAACAGCCCCACAATTGAAGCTGTGAAGTTGTTGTGGTTGTTGGTGGTGTACTGGAGTGAGTGGCATAAGTATGAAGTATAAAGAGATAAGTATAAAGTGCAATGATAAACTCTGTGATCATATTAGCAAGAGCTGAAAATGCAGAAGTTTCTTTATGTTGAATGTTGTGGTCGAGTTGTATCAGATTATGTTGATGTAAGTAAGGAAGGAAACAAACATACTGCAGTTTCATCAGCAAGAAAAGAAACTATACTGACACAGATCTGAATATTTATACATTTATTAGCTTTAACTACCACATTTTGATCATTTTACATTTGTTTTAATGTAATGCATGGATAGACATTTTCATTTGAGTTGCGAGTTTCAGTATAATATCACATTTTCACATAGAGTTTCACAGTATTCTTACAGTTTGAGCAGAAGAAAGCAGCTCCTCCTGGATCTCTTTGTACATGCTCTAATATTTTCTCTCTAATAATAACAGGGAGGACCCTCCAGTCCCTGAAGGACCCTTCTTTACCAGAGATCTCTATGACAAATATTCCCTTGCACCCAACATCAGAGAACTCTGGGCTTTTCTACAAAGGTGTGTGCATACAAGATTATTAAGAAACACAACAGCTAAGGTGTTTATAAAGGGATACTCTGGTGTAAAATAAATTTAGGGTCAAAAACACCGTAACACCGAGTTAGACATCCCGTCGAGAGATGAATGTTGCTGACCGCTTGCTTCTCTAGTTATACCAACTTTAGTAACAACCGCAGATAGCAACACAGAGAGTCACAGGCTCAACCAAAACGCCACTCTTTAGCCACAAATAATGCTCAGAACAGCACCTAAATTCATCAACAGTACATATAGGGTCCCAGCCACAGCACTAGCCACCAAACATCTTTTTAACTTTACCTGATTTCTTGTTTCACACAACTCACCTAATCTCTTCCAGCAGCCACTTGTTTGTAGCAAGACCTCGGGCCAGTCCATGACGAACTACTGCGGGGAGACGCAGCTCAAGGAAGAACATTTATGATCATTCTTTTATCATTTCCTTGAAGTAATAATCACCATATTAATTATTTTGCTCTGCAGACGAGGTAGTTCTTCTTCCTCAGCGTCTCGGTCTGATTTAATTTCCATGAGGAAATGATCATAAATGTTCTTCCTTGAGCTGCGTCACCCCACTGCAGTCGATGGACTGACCCGAGGTCTTGCTACAAACAAGTGGCTGCTGGAAGAGAGAGGGTGAGTTGTGTTTAGTCTCTTCGCTTAAGAAATTAGGCAAAGTTAAAAAGATGTTTGTTGGCTAATGCTATGCTTGGAACCTTATATGTACTGTTGATGAAGTTAGGTGCTGTTCTGAGCATTATTTGTGGCTATAGAGTGGCGTTTTGGTCTCTGTATTGCTGTCTGCTGTCGTTAGTAAAGTTGGTATAACTAGAGAAGCAAGCAGGTGGGAACATTCATCTCTCGACGGGGTGTCTAACTCTGTGTTACGGTGCGTTTGACCCTAACTTCATTTTACGCCGGAATATCCCTCTAAGGATGCATTATTGAGTATTACTCTGAAATCTTCTTAACATTTTGATTGTTTTTCTTGTTTATTTTTTTAATCTTTCCCCCAGTCCTGTAGAAAATCCTAATGTCAAACATGATGCTGATGGTAGTGCTGTGAAACCATCCAAAGAAAGAGCCATCGAGTTTAATGACAGTTGTGATGAGGGCATGTCTGTAGATCATGCTGCAGAATCCACAGAAGAATCCAAGGACAGACTGAGACAGGCTGCTAATGAGGCAGATGAAGTTTATCCTCATCCCAGAATGCCCTACCCCTGTTTGTCCAGTCTGTCCAGCAAACAACAGAGGGCGTATCTTGACTGTCTGATGAGCAAGAAAAAAATGATTCCTCCACAGGTAACATTTTTCACTCTCTGACGGTATTTTAAAAGAGACAGTTTTTATTTCTCAACTCCACAAATAAAAGATGTGCTCTCCTATTTCAGAATTTACAGGTTAAAGTAAATGCTGAAGTAATGGAGTTTACAAGGTACCTGCAGGAGGTGGCCAGAATATATGCTGATGACTACCTTTTTGCATCAGAGGGAGCCATGCAGTATTCAGAGGTACTGATATTACGAAAAACAAAACTCTCATCACCTTTGAGTTCCTAAGTATAAAGACATGGAGCCCTGGTTTGTTTTGTAGGATTTCTTCAGAGGCTGTTTGGAGTCCATTAAGACACATCCTCAGTTCTACCTCATCGATGAGATGACGAGTTTAACAGGGGGAACATTTAATCCAGGGCTCACGCTGACCTTTGAGAAACAGCTTCTAATTATGGTAAAGTACTTATGAAGTGCTGCTATCACACTGGAACATTTCTCCTCTCAGATGTGAAACTTCATATTCTCATTTCCTTCACAAAAGACCACTGTCCGGTTTTCTATTCAACCTTGAACTTAAAAAAGTGGAGTGCTGCAGAATCAGCCTTTCTGATGTTGATTCAATTCTCTTATTCCCATCTTTGTACCCTTTATTTCTCCAGGGCGATGTGGATATTACAGACCACACCATAGTGTCTGCTGATGCACAGCTTGCATCGGATTATCAGAGTGTTTCATCAGAGATTCCTCCAGCTAAAAAAGCTAAGGACATGCACGCTGTAAGCAATTGTCTCGCTTCTTTAATTGCTCAATAAAATAAGTCACAAAGATTTTTTTACTGCTAGAATGGGATTCATGACCGCAGGTCTATTGTAACTCTGTTTCAGCTCTTGCAGTTTTCACAAAAGACACCAGAGGGTGTTCATGTCTTGCTCAGCAAAACCACAGCTAATTAAGTTTCTAAAACAGAGTGGGCCACACACACACAGCACCGTCAGAGTCCAGCTAATTTATACAGCTGTGTGGTTATTTTACCTGCATGTTTGACTTTTTGAGTATACATACTACTTGTGTCACAGAGTTATGTATTTTTCTCTGCAGACTGTCAGCAGTGATAGTAACGCCAAGACCCTGAGTGATCGCTACGAGCCTCATGTGTGTTTGACGCGAGACGCTCTTGTCAGACTGCTAGACAACCACGGACCTGACTTTGGAGAACAATGGGAGCTGCCAGTCACGGTTGAATGTAAAATAGGGAAAGGTATGGTATTATTGCAGTGTTTTTATTTCAATATGAAAAGCACTTGTGGAAATAATGCATGTAATATTAAAATGAATATTCAGGATACAGTGTCACATATCAAGATTTGTATTTCCTTTCTGCTTCTGAGGGATGAGTCAGTTTAAATCCTGTTTGTGAAGGAAGTACAGCAGCGGGGAAATCTGGGATGACTGTCACAGACTGTAATGACAAGTGGTGGCCTCAGTGTGGCAGTGTTTCACAAATTCTTTGTTTTCTGTGTTTTATTTACAGGCGGTGTTCAGAGGAAGACGGTGTACATCGACTCTCCTCTTTTAAAGACTGAAATGACTGTTAGAGAGAGGAGTCACTTCTTCCATGAAGAGAGTTTAAAGCTTTCCATCAACAAGAACGGCACTAAAAATATTTTTCATTTGATGACTGAGCTTCCTGCAAATGAACAGCAGCTCTCACCAGTATGTTAATGCACGTCTAGATAAGATGCACTACTTAATATCATGCACTCGGTCTATCTTATCAGATCTGTGATTCTTTGTCATGTTTGTCGACAGGAGAATTCAAAAAGGAATTTGGTGTCTTTTGAAAATAACCTCGACTTTGATATGGATCTCACTGACCTGGAGACATTTGGGGAGGCAACACCTGTTAAGACCTCCAAGATGCAAAAGACACAGACTGAGCAGGATGCAAGTGTTAAAAGTGAAACAGCTACAAGTTTGTCACCTTTAAGAAAGACTGAAAGGTCAGCTGAGCTCACCTGCAGCAGTACGCAAGGAGAGACCAACACCTCTTTGTCGGATAAAGATGATCCAACAACAGAGGAGATGACTCAGACAGCTGAGTGTAAAGTCCCTGAGCCAAAATGTGAACACGTGAGAGCGGATTCTGCTAAAGACCATGAGGACTCAGATGATGAGAAGCTGGTCATCGATGACACTCTGACTCCAGCTGCATCACCTGTAATACCACCTAAGCCTAAAACCACTCCAACTCCTGGTGTTCCCCCGGTCTCTGAGTCGGCACCTGTAAACCCAGAGTCATCCTCCCCTCTAAGAGTCACGAGGCAGAGACGACAACCTAAAAAAGCCAGAATTTCGGGTGACCAGCTGGGGGAGATCCTCTGCATGCAGACAGCTATGTTCAACAAAACTAGTAACACTCCAAAACACCCCACCACACCGGAGGAAACAAACCCACCCGCACAATGCATGGGACCCCCTGTTCACTCCCACCCAACATCTCTCGTGAAGCCCTGTGTGACTTCATACTTAGAGAGAAACAAGAACCAGGATGGACAGACCTACACCCCTTTGAAGGATGCCACGCCTGCGATCAATGCTGCTGTTCCAGAGCACAAAAGTGAGTGGCCGAGTGTTTTTTCCCTGTGGGCTCAGTTGTTCAACAGTATTCAGTAATCTGAGATTAAAGCTGTTTAATTTGATCAATTTGATTTGAATTTGATTTGAAAAATATCTGAAGTAGGTGAAAAAATAATTAAGTAGATACCTTGAATATTTTTATAGTTGATTAGATAAAACAAATAAAGAATAATAAAAACATGTTCTACTCAGCTGTTAATATCGAACCAAAAATCTGGGATTAAAGCGTCTGCGATCAACCAGTTATTTGGTTTTTATCTTGTTAATGTTTCATCTTAGCTCCTGAAGCAACAGCCAGGCTTGAATCTGACCCTTGGATTTGCACTTAACATCATTGTTTACAGTCTTGTAGGGATGGGAGAAAAAATGGATACAGCATAGTATCACGATATTTTGTCTGGTGATATATCGTATCGTCTCATTTACCAAGTATAGTTTTTTTCAAATTAAGTGCTTGTATGAAGTAAAATCTGTGATAATGGAAAAATAAAATCAAGTGTTTGTCCAGTGAGGTTGGCAGAGGTGACATCATAGAGCAGGAGATTAGTATAACAAATATGTATGAGGTTTGCAAGATGTGCAACATGAAAATAAAATACAGCGTAAATAAGACAAACATTAACGAAAGACAAATGCTAAATTAGCTAAACAGTTGAAAAATTGTATAAATCGCAAGATATTGTATCCCAATACTCACTGTATTGCAAAATGTTAAAAATCATGGAGTCACTAGTGATTCCCACCCCTACAGTCTTCCTAGATCCTCACTCCGTCCACTGTGCGCTGTCTAAAGGCACAAAATGCCCCAAAAGTTATTTTCAACAATGCAGGAAAGTGGATTCCTGAACAGCTGGGCTTAGAAGACCAAAGTTGTTGTCCTGCATTAAGTTGATATCTGGTACATCTTAAATCCCCTCACAGGAATACTCTCAGAGGACCTGCAGGCGAGTGCAGAGGATGAAAAAGACTACCAGCCTCCAGAGAAAGGCAACCTTCTCTACAAGCTCTACAGTCTGCAGGATCTATTGCTCATGGTGCGCAGCTCCATCTCACTGACACATTCCAGGAAAGTGGGCAGCAAGCAGAACCAGGTACTAGTTCGATCAGATGACACTTATGAAATGTCACAGTTTCATTTCATATTAGACTTAACAGTTTCCCTTTTTATGACTCTTTTGTTCTTCTTTTGGAAGTTTGTGCCAGTCCATGTCCTACCCAAGCTGGAGTACCAGTTGTGTTACGGGGTTGAGTGTCTAAGCAATAGTGAGCTTTGCCAACTATGGACTGAGACGGTGCTTCACTCCAGCACAGTCTCCTTCATAGGTAAAAGTTTAATTCTTGTTCTCTTCTTCTCCGAGCAGAGAAAGTCCAGGAAGAAATGTTCAAACTACTCTCAGAGTCACTTTAATGAGTAGAGTATGGTTTCCCTGTAGCTTTTAATTTTCGAACATGATTGCCAGGAAAGAGCACACAAAAAAAAACCTCCTCTCCTCTTGTCCACATGGCAAATCCTCCCACAAACCAAAGAAATAGTCTTCAGATGACTCACTGTTCCAGTGCGGCTGTGTACCGATTGAGTTTACTTTGTTGCCATGGCTACAGCCATGCTTGATTATGGAGAAAACAGTGTGCACAGCTCAGCTAAATGCTGTTTTGAAGATCATTTAAACTCTCCTAATGCTTATTGTTGATTTGCACATTCTCCTTAACTGTAGTTTTAGATTTTAGATGGACTCATCCTTTTTTCTATAACAGGTCTATTGATGTGCTGACTGTATATCTTATATCATATCTGAGAATCCATAAATATTGACCTTATCCTAGTCTGAAACATAGCATACTGAGGGACAAGATCATACATGTTACTGTCAGCAGTACAACATGTTTGTTTACTGGATTTTTAACACGCTTCATGGATCTGAATAGCTCTGCATAGAACATGTAACCTGTGATATGTGTAAACCCTGTGTTAGATATTTGAAACCCTGGATGTTTTCAAAGGGAACTGTTTTACCAGCAGCATTTAGAAAATAAATAAAGATAAAACAGTCGTATCACTCGTGCAAAATTAAACATAAAGAATTACGCAAAAAAACATCAGCTGATCAGACTTCCTCCTTTGCTTTGTGGATCATGGTTCAGCATGTGGTTATCATGTGGCACCCCTAACTGTGTATTCATGGCTGTGGTTGTGCGCTCTAAACCGGCCCATGAGTGTAGGAAGGCGCCGTTAAAAGGAAGCGAGCTTTACAATCATGAGTGGGAGGCAGGCAAAAGAGACAGGCCCGACAAGCATGTCTTACCTCCCACTCAAGCTTGTAACAACGCTGGCAAACCATCACAGACTAATTACTTAATAAGCTCCATGAATGGCATAGATGATGAAGCAACGCACTTGATGTGTGCGCTCATTAGCTCTTGTTCTTTCCTCTCTCTCTCTCTCTCTCTCTCTCTCTGTGTCTCTCGCCCCCCTTTGTCTGTCTCTGTAGCTCACATCAATGCGTTCACATCAAAAGTAGCTCTGCTGAGAAAGCTGCCTGACACCTGGAAACAGAACATATCATGTGGGTTCAAGTGAGTGTCACCGCTCCAGATGTGTGCAGATTATCAAGATGAATGTGATCGTTCCTCTAAGAGGTTTTTAATCTGTAACTCAGTCAGTTTACAGAATAATCCAGCCTTTTTTGTCCTCTGTGACTCAACAAACTTGGTGTTGAAAATTCAGACCCTAAGGTTTGACAGGAGGATATGTCTTCTTAATCCACAGGCCCTCCAAGTCACTCAATATACTGCACCACCTCCTGAAAAAGCTAACTGGGTAAGTTCAGGACATTTCATATCAGCTGTGTCCTTTGAGACAGGATATCCATTTTTTAATGTATCTGTTTAAATGCATGCTAATGTTTGATTTGATGTACCATCTGTACAAAAAGTAAGGTCTGATGAGGCCATGATCTGCGGGTGAGTTGTCTGTACACATCTGTCTGTCTTCACGCCCATTTCACCATGATGAAATTTTTTGTACAGTCAGGTCTGACAGACCGCCTCTGACTAAAACTGTGACGTGAGTCTGCCTCTGTGTTTGGATTGGAAAATTACACAATCCATTGCTCAACAAACACATGATGGCTGCTTCACTTTCTGCTTTCTTCAGGCTCTGCTCACCTACAGTCCCCGTACTGTAACGTGTTTGAGTAGGGGGTGTAATTGACAGTAACCCACTCTGAATGACTCTATTTGGTCTTGTAGGTTAAAGGAAGGACAGTACCTGGTGACACACGACACAGGCACACCCTTTGTGAGACTATTAAAAGCAGCTCACGGTAAAGGGACCCACAACCTGCATCAGATCCATAGTGCCGTCCCGCAGCCCCCAGCCTCAGGCCGCGTACCCTGGATACCTGTAGATCCAGCTGTGGTTCTTCCTTTCCACAAGAAGCACGGCCGTGTCCCCTGCACTTTCCCTCTTACACCCACGATAAAGGTTTGTGTTTATTTGACGCCAACACAGCTTTGTTTAAAAAAACAAAAAATCACTAGAGGGCACGAGAGACAATGAGGTGAGAGGTTATTAAAATCACTCGAAAGTGTTTGTTGGTTAATGTTTAGGAAGTTCACACCCTTCATCAGACACTCACACGTTCAGGGATTCTCCAAAAGCCAAGACTGCAGTCTCCCACTAAGCTGTGGTAAGTGCAAAGCCCTTGGCCGTTTTCATATCAGACAGGCTGAACCAGCAAACTGCTGCATAGTTTGACTCCACAAGTCCTAAACTAACAACAGGGACAAAAGAGAGCAGAGCAAAATCAGCAGCAGCTCAGCAGGGTTTAATTGTATACACACACAGATTCGTAGGATGCCTGTCTGAAATTCCTCAAGGCGAAGACACCACCACATCTTTCGACTCTCCTAACACTCGAAGAAAGTGTTGTTCAGCACTTAACAATAACCTGTTTACTTCTCATAACATATTTTAACATTATTTTACTATAAAATGAGTTAGAGATATGTGTCTAATTTCTGTCGTCTCCTTCAGCCGTTTCAAGGTTGGTCAGTGCACCCAAACAAGAATGGAGCTGGACAGGCCGACAACAACACGACAGCAGGAGGTAAAAAGAAGAAGAAGAAGAATAAAGGAAAAAGAGCAGCCAGACGTGACAAGTTCATGAAAAAGCTAATTCAGAAGTCTGTTTGAATCTTGTATGAGAAGATGCAGTCATGTCATTCATTTAAAGTCACGTCAGCTCAGTCAGAAGAGGAGCTGAAGTTAAAAGAACCGCAGGGAGAGTTACTTGAAAGCTAACACTGAAGCACTTAATACAATCTTTATTTGTTTTTGTGTCTGTCATATTTAAATATAATAGAATAAAAATCCTAAATAAACTTTTCAAAGTCTTTTCTCTAACTGTGAGTGTTAGTACCATGGTAAACACACTGATCAGTGTTTACTGTCTGGGCAGTGTCAAGTCATGATAAGACATCATCTTCAAAAATCCCCTGAAGGAACAGAGCTGTGTGTAAAGCCAACAAAGCGTCAGGACTGTGAGCTTCCTGCGGCCTCTTTGTGGAACAGGGTGGAGTCGTGGGCATGAAAAGGGGGAGGAATCTGAGTCAGGGGAGGTGAAGAGGGAAGTGTTTCCCTGTGCCAGAAAAATTAGACTTATCACTCCCTTTTTCACTTTTACATCGCCTTGACACATTTCTGCATCAGCTCAGCTCTTGAATACGGTAAGTTCAGTTTTGTTTGATTTGTGCAGTGTGGAGTTCAGATTGTCTTTACAATCCTTGAAGAGTTTAGGGAATTTGTTTTAGCATGCACTCATGAGTCATGAGATAAGATTCCTACATAGTTTGAATGGAAACTTTGTGAAGATGTTTTCTTTTCTTGGACTTTGTTAAAGTGAGAACTCTGCTCTAAAACATGCACTCTCAAACCAGTTTTATGCCCCCAGTTTACATACCGAACAGGAGTACAGTAGCTCTTTTTCCAGGGTGTGTCTCATTTGGGTTCTGTTAAGGATGTGTGACAGGCTGAACAAGGATTTGCAAGTTAGAACATTTTCAGTCGTCTTCAGCTTTTGTAGCACAAACTGAAGAGGGTTTTAACCACGCAGTGACACAAAGTGGAACCATAAAGTCTCTTTTAGTGATCTGCGTGACTCAATCTTTCCAAAATCAACATCTCACATGAAAGACAATTGTTGCTCCTGTGATTGCATCTTAAGAAAACATGACCTCATGGGTGGTTCAGAGGAGTCAGTGATGCGATTACAGTTATTTCAATACAAGATTGTTAAATGTTGACACTTTTCCAGGGCAGACAAAATGGCTATGGTATCAGAATTCCTGGGACAGTTGTGTCTGAACACTGGGGTAAGACTTATTCTTAGTATTATTTCAGATTTGTTACAGAGATAATAAACACTCATTATTTACCAGAGATAATGAATAGTGTTTGTTTTAAGTTGGCATTAATGATATCTTTTCTTTCAATCCCTAGCAAGAACCCACCTCCCCCACAGTGGTACCTGCTCGGGACTTTGACCCAGACAGAGATGCTGCCAGAATAGAGACTGCGATCAAAACCAAAGGTAAGACACAGTGCAGCACCAGTCACTCCAAAATAATCTGTGCTTGCTTCTGCAGCTTCTCCATAGATCAGTTCCTGGTATTTCTGAGTCAACATCCTGGCTTAAAATATTTTCTCCTTACTTGGAAAATCTCCAAGTCTGTGCCTCAGAGCTGGCGTGGTTCTGGTCTGTTTTGGCTGACCGACTGAGAGCGACTGGCAAAAGCCTGACCGCTAACTCTTTAAACCATAAATTAGACTTATGAAAGCAAATTCCTCAGACACAGAAGTTTTTGTCCAACAGAGCAGAATAAGAGTTATAAAAACTAAAACGTCTCAAAAAGTTAAACTTTTTTTTAACTGAATTTAAGACTTTTGAATTACTTTCAGAGGTTAAAGGTTATAACATTTGGCACTGATCAATAGTAGCCTATAAGAATCTATACAACCACCATTTAGCTCTATTTTTATAATTCTGTGTTAAAATTTTATTATGCAGCAACTCAAACCACTCTTGTACTGAAGTTTCTTAAAGATTTTACCCAATATTGATATTTACAATGAGCCCAGTTTAATAGTTGTGTACTATTCATGTGGTGTCTGATATCTGCTCTGCGTTGATGTTTTTCATTCTTACATTAGGCGTGGATGAACAGACGATCATTGATATCCTCACAAGGCGGACCTACTCACAAAGGAGAGAAATCGCTTTTGCTTATGAAAGAAGAACGAAGAAGGTACATTAGGTGTTCAAAGATTTCCCCCACCCTCATGATTTTGTGTCTTTACTGTACGGTACACTTATCTAAAATTTCTCTTATTTGTAGGACATGATCACAGCCCTGAAGGGGGCGCTGTCTGGCTCACTGGAAACAGTCATTCTTGGACTGATGAAGAGCACGACACAGTTTGATGCCTCAGAAATCAGAAAATCTATCAAGGTAAAGGGGACCGAGTGTATCAGTGGTGCTTGGCTAATGTAGGCTGCATCTGAGGGTTACATCGCCCTCTAGTGGAAGATTTGTTTAATACTTCTCCCCGGTCTAAAAATGAGCTGTGTGTATCATGTAGGCCTAAGTGCGTCACATTAGAAGTAAAACAGAATTGTGTTTCTTTCAGGGCTTGGGGACAGATGAAGAAACCCTGATTGAAATTCTGTGCTCCCGCAGCAACAGTGAGCTGGAGGAGATAAAGAAAGTCTACAAGGAGCGTAAGTTCAAAACATAGCAGACATTTCTGTCAACAAGGCCTGGAGATACACTAGAACACACTGTGTCAACTCTGTATGTTGTAAAGCTTTTATATAATCCTGGCTCTCGGTGTCTGATGAATCTCTGTTATATGATGTTGCAAATTCTTGAGCCAGAATTTCAACAGGTATGAAAAGACCTGATAAATAGAGAGAGGTGCTGTATTCAAATTCAAACTCAACTTTATTTGTATGGCACTTTTCAGACAAAAAAATATAGCTCAAAGTGCCTCACAGAGCCTTAAAATAATAATTAAACAACAATAAAACCCACCCATGGTCCCACACACACACAGACACACACCCACCCTCGCTCACCCACACATACATGAACACACAAGCGCACACAGAGTGAGAATTTAATATATGTTGTTAGGGAGACATGGCCTGACACTGAGACATTATGTGAGGAAAGATCAACCTTTGGGAAACAAGAAAATAAAATAAAATGAACAGACAAGTAAGAGCTCTTTACCATGTAAAATAAGGATAAAAAAAGTAAAAACCTCTAAGGCAGGAGTTAAGAAAAGGACTAAGAACAGATAATTAATACGATTACATAAAAGAAACATTAAGAACTTAGATTAAAATGAACATTTGCAATAAGAGAAATATAAAAAGGCAAGGTATATATCTAAACGATCGCTGTGATTTCCCACAGTGTTCAAGAAGGAACTGGAAAAGGATGTGGCAGGAGACACTTCTGGGCATTTTGCTAAGCTGCTCCTGGCTTTGGTGCAGGTGAGACTTAAACATACTTAAATATATGATGATTTTCATGATATACAATACAGCCAGAACTGAACTGTCTTATTTTACTGCAGACCAAGAGAGCTGAATCAAGCTCTATTGTAGACTACGAAAAAATTGATGAAGACGCCAGAGTAAGTCATCCTCTTTGTATGTGATAAGTATAAACCCCTTTTTTATAGTTCATATTTTTGCCAAATAGATTCATAACTCAGTTATGTCTGATCTAAGGTGAAACTGGCTTTATTTAGTACATCACTCTCAATGAAAACTTGTATAATTAAACCTGTGTTTTTTATTTAATTCAGGCACTGTATGATGCTGGGGTAAAGATTAGGGGGACTGATGTGGCAACCTGGATCTCCATTATGTCTGAGAGAAGTGTACCCCACCTGAGAAAAGGTAAGTTACTGTTTTTGTCTTTTATTATTGTGTAATTTCTCTTTTTACTTTATCTTTATCTTTAGTAAAAACATTCCCATTAATAATCCAACATTTTTTCCTGTTCCCTAGTGTTCGACAGGTACAAGAGCTACAGCCCGTACGACATGAAGGAGAGCATTGAGAAGGAAGTTAAAGGAGACCTGCAGAGCTCCTTTCTGGCACTGGGTACATACAGTTTATGATCATGACGCAATAACCAATATGTGTTATTTGTTATCTGAAGTGAATATATAACCAATAAGCCTGTCTGTTTTTCAATCACTATAAGTTTCTACAGAAAATCATGTATGGTTTTTTTTTTATGTTGTCTCTCTTTTGTTCTAGTTCAGTGCTTTGAAAACAAACAGCTGTATTTTGCCAACAGACTGAACCTAGCCATGAGGGTAATCACACTTCTTTTTCTTTGTCTCCTTTTCTTCTTCTTCTTCTTCTTGCTGAATTTGTGGCAATTTTGGAGCTAGTCTGTTTTTTCCCCCTCTATTTGAACAGACGTAAGAAGTACATCTACTTATGAAAGTGCAATTTTGCTGCAGGATCACAGAATCCAAAGTTGGCAAAAAGTTATCTTACAACGCTGTTGCATCAGCTGCTGTAGTTAAAGTTCGGGGCTACAACTTCACTAAGTGCTGACTTGTGTTTGTCTGCTCAGCGTAAAGGAGCCGAAGAGAAGATACTGACCAGAATTATTGTGTCACGCTGTGAGGTGGACCTGATGAAGATCTCCACTGAATACAAGGCCAATTACGGACAGTCTCTGCCACAGGCCATCATGGTAAACATATTTCAGAGTGTGTTCGCAGCCCATCATTGATGTACAGCAAGTTTTTTAGATATGCAGACCATCTAACCTGCTTTTTCTCTGCAGGAACACACCAAGGGAGACTACCAGAAGGTTCTGCTTAGTCTGTGTAAATCAGATGAGTAAAATCAAACCATGACTATTTTAAAAAGTCTGCACAGAAAAGTGGCTTTAGAAATATTGCAGTGGAAAGACAAAACAGAATACAAAAATATATTTTTCAGACATGAAGAAACAGCATCCATTACCTATCTTTGTTATACTGAAACAGTAATAAATCGGCTCTCCTGGAGTGTTGTCCCTTACCTTTCTTTGCATTCCTAATGAGTTGTTTTTACTTGATGTTGAGGTAGTCGGCCACCAGAGGGCACTACAGTCACATTTATAGCAACAGTAAACAGCTGCGGCTATTTCAGGGCCTTGTACCTGACACTTGAAGAACAAGATCTCACTAATTAATACAACAAAATTTATGAAGTCAAATTACATTTTCAATTTTGATTATCAGCTTTTATCCAATTCTGTGGATTTTTTTTAAATAAATGAAAATATTATTGCAGTTTAATTTTTGCTACACAATTGTTTAAGGCAGAGCTAATTCCCACCAACAAAAAGCAAAAATCTTTAAAAATTATTATTGAAATTAAAAGATTGAGTTTTTCTGCCTTTAATTGTGGCTGCCATGTTTGCACACGTCGAGATCAACATCTCTATCAAAACGTATGAAATTCATGATCCTGATCCTGATTCTGACTCTTCACATCCAAATAAATCTCACTCATTTTTCTACTATGAGCTTTCGTCAAGATGATTTAATCATAAGTGTGTTTTTCTGTGTTTGTTTGGTGCTAATATTTTAATTAAAAATGTTAATTTTACCTCTGGCGGTTGATTTGCATACCACTAAACAAGCGTCTATACAGTGTGTTTCTGCTGTTTAGTTTGTAGTCTCTCAGGATGAAATAACCACCACAGTGTTGTCAAGGCATTTCTACTGAAGTATAAGAAAAAACGGCCCCAAAAGGCATGATCAGTACTGCTGATCACAGCAGTGAGGAGAGGATGTGAGGGGAAGCGCACAGACTTAATACTGTAATGAAAATAAAGTGGTGTTCTGTGGCTAAATTATGAGAGAAGATCATCTATTATTGTGAGCGAAACTGCCTGATAATATAATGCCTCTGTCTAATATTTTCACTGGTTGAGTAGCTGAGGAGAGGAACAGCTCCAACTTTTAACAAGGCCCTGGATTTATGATCATTTTGTAATAATATTGATGAGAACATTAGCCCTTTGTGATGGTTTATGTTTATAGGCAATAAAAAAATAAAATACGGCGTAAAGTAAGGTAAAACTGTATTTTGCAAAGCAGGCTGGGAGATTTATGTGTGAATGTGGTGACAGATTAATCTCTGCATCATAAAGAGGAAAGTAGCACCATATTTCCCCCTTTTTTATATGGATGTACAACATGCTGTTCTGTTCAAGGCCAGCCCGTGGGGACCTCCAGGAAACCCAAGGGGAACTCTCTTCTCAATTGAAACGATGCAATTTACTGTCCCAAACGCTGGCACTTCATCATTCAGAGGACTTTAACCCCATGAATGTCAAACACCGAGCATGCTGGGAAGGAGATGGAATACCTCACATTACCATAACAACTAGATCCAAATGACAGACACTCAGGAGCCTAAAAGGTGAAGAATAATACCTCCTAATCACCCAATAACGTTTGAACTTGAGGAGAGATTTCTGACGACTTCCTGTTGTTTACCACCGACCACCCTCAGCTGTCAGGTGAGTGTATCACGCAGGTTTTAGCCTCACAGGTCATCAGACTCATCCTCCTTCTTTTTCTAATACTTGTCCCAGTTACATTGAACATGTGGAAAGCTCCCCCCGCTTCACCTCAGAGACAAAGCCCAGGCAGCGCTGCAGGCGACCAGCAGCATTAAAGTTTCACAGTACAGCTGTGAAGCTGCTGCCGCCCCGCCAGACATAGCAACTGCACATCGGGAAGGTATTAGTTTGTTGCTTTTTATTAATTCATCGCAACGACACACAACTCGCAACTCAGAGAACCGGCAGCTTCTTCTTAACATTTCTCCTCATCTTCCCCCCTTCTTTGACACATCTGAACCCAGCCCAGAATCTCTCTGCACAGCACCAAAGGGTGTTTAATTATAGAGCAGTGGGCCACCAAGGTCTTCTTTTAATTGTGTGCATCTGTGTGTGTTTGTGTGTGTGTGTTTGCCTGCAGCTCTATAGGTCGCAGGCATACTCTAAATGAGGACTCCTACAGGCTAAGCTGGAGGAGCCGTTCCCTCAACTACAGAGAGTCACAGTTTGATTAATATTTTCTTAATTATCACTATTTAATTCAGCTGAAGCACGGCGTCTTCAGTGGAAATGTGGCCTTTGTCTCTGTGATGCTGGATCTCCTGGCTCGTTAGGGGCACAAAGAGATCCTGTATATGGTAAATAAGATTTTTTTTTTGTTTTATTCCGCTGCCCCAGGGAGATCTGGCACCACACTGAAGGACATCTCCTTCTGAAGAATAGCGCTTTGCTGATGTTTCTCTGCTCAGACCGCAAAAGCCGGATCCTTCTGCCTCTGGCATCGTCAGGCCCCGCTTCCTTTTGTGAGGCTCAAACTGAGACAGCAGAGGAGCGCCGTACACTCAACATGCCATCAAGCTGCTTCCTTTGTACAGCAGACTGGTAATTGAAACAACATAAGAGAGGGGTATAAGGCCTGTCTCCTTCTCGTGGGCTCTGGCTGCAGTCAGTCCAGACACACAAAAAAGACACACAGAGAAGTTTATAAAAGAGCTTTGTGTACACGCAACTCTGTTTCTGTCTTTGAAGAGTTCTGCTTCTGTCAATTTGAGAAGCCAAAAAGACTTTCAAGAGCGTCATCCTCGATGCTCTGTAGGAGTCTACTTTAACTCGGTCTTTTTCATACAATGATCCCACATTTGGTGCGGTTTGCTTTAATTGTAAATCAATCATCTTTGATTTTAGTCACAATCCAGTTTGTTAAAAAAGCCTGGAGACAGAGGCAGTTTTTTCCATCAGATCAGCAGTATCTGATGCTCAGGGCTGGACTGGATGCTGACTTTTCTCTTCGCTTGAAGCCCCTCTTTCAATCTCCACGTGCCGAGGAAATGAGTATACCCCGTGGCTGGTTAACCTGCGCGCTGCCTATCTGTATCCACTTGTCTCACTTCTTTCACTTTGTCCACAGAGACGTGTCTCATCCCCTGTGCCTGCTTGCCTGCCTCGCTGCAAAGATTGTTTTGATCCCCTTGATTCGATCAAACGCCTGACAAAGATTAGAAAAGCTACATACAGAATGAATGTACTAGTATGCAATCTGTGTGTGTGTGCACAGTGTAATGTTTAAGTGGGCCTCCAGCCAGATGCACTAATGATAATTTTCAGAGAAGTGGTTGTAATAAGTCTGGCCCCAGCATCAGCAGCTCCTCCGTTGTTTGCACACGCTGGATCAGCTTATTGTATGTGTGTATTTTGAGCAGCAGAGGATGAGGACGGTCTTTATCAGGATGGCATATTAATGTTTATTTACACCATGGCTAATAAGATGTGTGCTCTGCAGCAAGGTGAGGCAGAATGATGGCGGGTAATTAAACTGCTTTGCTTTAGATTCATCCATTATCCATACTCAAGCCTGCATACATAATGTAATAATGTAAAATAAGGCTTGTTGCTGTGGAAGAAGAGGTGACCATTCTGAGCTGTTTTCATCCCCATAAATCAATACAGAGTGTCAATGTGGGAAAAAAAATGTATAGAGATCCGTGTGATAAATTTGGGGATTGTCAAAATATGTGTTCAGAAGCGTGTGAGATACGACCCTTTTGCATAATGCAGGGACACAAACAGCGGCGGCGTTTTCTTCCCACCTCTAACCTGTTGGAGGTTTCACAACGGACTGAGTGGCTCTTTAATCCGTATTGCCATGATCCTTAATCCCATCTCGTGGAGTCGCCAATGCCCCGGCCAATGGACCCTGTTCACTACACACACCCACACAGATTCACTCACACACACACACATCCTCACCTTCATGCAAGAGATTGAAATCAGCCAGGCAGACACTCAAGCATGAACCAAATGTCAGCGACAAGCCACGGGGAGAAGAGAGGAGCCCGTGTTAATTATTACAGAGAGATATCATACTATTCCACCAGCAAGACATGCTGCCCAGGATATCTGTGGATCAGGAAGTCATTTTCTTTTTTTCCCTCCTGGGATAAACCGAGGAGGGACAATTCCAATGAGGAGGTCTTTAAAAGCAGTGATTACTTTCATGATGGAGGTTTTTTTTTGCTTATCGAAATTGTGTTGTATGTTCTCCTCTAAAGGGAATTAAAGCAATATTATAAAAGAAAGACGGATAATTCAATGAAAGATCAGCAAGTTGGAGAAAACAGCAGAGTGATTTTATTGTTCATCAAAATATCCCTGATTTACAGACTTTGTTTGAAGCCAGGCGCTGAAGCTCTGCCTCCTCTGACAGGAGAAAAGCAAAGTTTTGGAAAGGTGTCTACAAATTTCATCCCTCTGCAACGCTACTCTCTCATTTGATTTTGAATGTGTTGAAAAAAAAACCTTCTTTTTCTTCTTCTGACAACACGTTTCCCCAGTGACACTTAACCTTTGGAGATTTCCCGTTCTCTCTGATCATTCACTGTTTGGCTCATGTTAATTAACCCTAGGGCATAGCAGGGAGATGCAGGCTTTGAAGAAGAAGAGAGAAAAAAAAAGAAGCAAGAAAGAAGTAAAATGATTTTGTTGTTTTTCTGTTTCTTTTACAGCGATTCATTCCTCTCTACATGTGTGAGTCTCAGTGGAGCCGCTGAAGATGGTGAGTGGCGTGGATGTTAGAAAGGATGGAGTACGGTTTGTGTTCCTGTCAGCGTCTGTCCTCTCTCCCTGTGAAGAAGTTGGCTGGAGCAGCCTGACCTCCCTCAGGTGGCCAATGGAAATGGAAATCAGTGCAAAAATAGAACACAAGATGGTTTTTCATAGCCTTCAGCTTCCCCAAAAAGAAAGGATTTTTGTCTGTTTCTTTTCATTCTTTTTAGCTCCTGGCAGAAATGGTCTTTTCTGTGCTTGCTTGAAATACACAAAGCGCATTTCTTGGTGAAAAGTGCCACTGGTGGCAGGCGGAGCAATATTGCCTGAGCCCAAAGAATATGCTGTGCATGTAAAATTATTTTGTTAACCGTTTCACTGCTTGTTTCTCTTCTCTTTGGAGTAAAGAGTGCGATCAAACAGCAGTCCAACCTCTGGCCTTTCATCAGAGACTATTCATGCACGGCTAAAAATACACTCCCCATCTCACTCAGGTGACATACAGCACAAGTACTCTGGCATTTTGAACTCTTAAAGGCCCTTTTTTTCTCTGATTTTTTTTTCTCAAAAGCAGGTTCTCTTGAAGCAGCATTGGGTTGAAATCTACAACTCCAAAACAGTGGAAATATTCATGAGGAAAACCCGCTGGAGAAGACACGCCGCGGCACAACCAGAGGCTTTTTTCTCCAGGTTCTCAGGGCAAATCTGTTCCTGTGCTGCTTCTTCTTCTTCTTCTTCTATCTGATGCTTGTCTAACGTACATAAAGACAAAGACAGGAAGTATGATTAGCCACAGAGAATAGGAGTGCAGCGCTCCCTCCAGGATAAGTCTTGAGGTAGGACTGATCAAAGCGATGCCCAGAGACAGAGGGAGACTGAAGCAGCACTTTTTCACTGGCTATCCCTGCCTTAAGACAAGGGAGGAGGGGGATGCTCTACACATATTTCCTTTTCAGCGCTTCAGCTGGAAAGTTATACTACTGAACAATAGGTTCAA